ATAGTGTTGAAAGAGACGAACATTGTAAGCTTGAGTTAGTCATAGCTAAGTTAATACAGACCTTGACATTGAAGCCGTTCTTGTCATAATAAAATAATAATAAAAAAAGTGTTTGAGAAATCTTGTGTGAACATTACGAGATCGAGGAGAATAAAGCTGAGAGGTCGTTGATGACTTCGACTTAGACGGAATGACCGAGTAAAGAGAAATAGGGACGCACCTAGCGATAGCCTAAACGTATGTAAATTAAGAAACTTGTTTTCATCCTTGGATATTGCGCATTATGAAATAGAGGCAGTTCGTCAGCGGCGAAAACGCTAAGACGGAGCGGAAAAACACAGGTTCAGCGTATAGCGAACGAAGATAGTGCATCGAAATGTCTCACCCGTCCATCCACACCTGAGCTGCCTACAATAAGTATTTTATTTGTTACGAAGAGCAATACTTTTTGTAGCTGATAGACTTCAAACTGGAACCGGCCAGAACAAATCTTCGGGAAACTCCTCCGAACCAATCCCAGCTAGTATTTCGCCTTCGTAGGACCTCAAAGGAATGACAAGGATGATAACGAGGAGATGAATGCCGAAAACGATCGCCCCGAGGGATTTTCTTGTGCCACTTCGGATACGAATAGCTCACATGCTGTATATGAGCTAACAGTAGTGTCAACGGAATTTACGCCTTTTATCCGTAGGGCCCCACAGACACCCGTTCTGCCGCCATCGGTTATTCTTTAGCTTTGTTGTTTTCCTGAACTCGCTCGTTCCATCAGAGACATCGTTTGTTGGAACCTAGCCATCTCCTTGCCACCCTTTTTTGCTGTATCTCCAACAAATAATACCACGTTTTGAGGACATTCCATGAAGGAGTGCAGAAACCAAGCAGCGGAAGGATGTGTCGGCGAAGTGTAATATTGTAGAGAATCTCCCGGGGAGCGTTACATGTGCCTATGGGCATATACATGGCCATAAACGTGGAGGCAATAGATGACACAAGCAATCACTATTGTTCGGTTAGGTCTTCAGCTGCAGCTTATTACAGCTCGCCTGGAACTCGGTGTTGGACACGAGCGATGGCTAACACAATTCCAGAAACCGTTTTTGTCGGCCGTTTACTGTACTTCGGCACGACCTGTCATCAGGGACATCGCATGGTCTGTTGGCCCAGTCCATCGATCCACTAACATGAACAACAATAGTAGGAACGCGCCCAAATATATTATACACAGAGCGAAATCAAGGAAAGAAATGGAGAAGTTACGGCCTGGCACCCAGATGGCTGGGAACTATCGCGATTAATCTGTTCATACATTTGCTGCTTGCTCAGTTGAATAAATTAAAAAAATAAGCCAAATATTTTTTCATTGCCAGTAACAGTGACAGATGGAGTAGTTCCTTAAGTCAGGCCGGTCCGTGAATATATTCTTCAAAACAAAACCCTTCAAAAAAAGTCTTTGTGGTCAATATTGTTTGTTTGTATTTAGCTGAAATTTTGAAGAAGTTATCATTTTAACATTGTAGCGAAAGAAATAGTTGGACAACTCTAAGCGTTGCTTTGCTTGTACGGGAGTTCAGCCGTATTCATACGCTGTCGTAAACATGGCACATGACAAATATCGTTGCTTTAATTCTGTAGGCCATACCTGCTATCACCTAGACAAATGCACGCAAGGGTTACGTGCTTTTACTTATCACCATTATGCAATAGACTCTGAACCGCGTTAAAATAGGCAATTTTCGTATGATCCTTACTGATGATGACTTGCACGTCGCAATGTGATACTGTGCATGAACTGTGTAGCATATCACTGTATGAAGCTATGACGCTATGCGTTGCAAAAATTCTTGCCGAAGTGCTATACAAGCTTTAGCAATAAACCTAGACTACGTGCAAAAGCCGAACACAAAGTTTCGACTATTTGAATCGATGTGCATGTACACCTTCTGCACGTGCTGTTTTGATCGTGGGCACAATCTACCTCTACCAGAAGCCATAGCTTCCAGGAGCCACAAGCAGCTTACAGCTTCGTCCCATTCTATCAATCCACATATACGATATGACTGATGTGATTATTTTGTTAAAAGCGCTTGCTTCATTTAACAGTTTCGTAATTCAATAGACTACTGTAATCTGTAACCGAAATTATATCGGTAAAACTCTTTCATGTATTATGAAAGCCTTCGGAGTTGAACAACTGTGCCATTCCTAGCCTTTAGCTAGGCCAGGTGACCTCTAAATCAATAGTCCTCATATATGGGATCCTAATCTCACCCATCTTATAGACGCGCTTTTATCACTATGCTTTATTTTTTTTTTTCACCACTTTTGGCTATCTTTATTGTATGAGAAAATCCTCGAAATTGCCTCTTTGGTATAGCATCAAGGGCTTGCCTTCACTAGAAGGTCCTGCCGGAATGGGTTTTGCTAGACTCGTCCAGCATTGCTAGAATTGACCCATGAAACGGCAGGGTAGCCATTTGCCAACGCTGAAATTTGAGCCAGTGATAGTCGCGCGCGCTCACAGTTACCATGGCAATAGGTGTCCGTCAACTACCCAGACCCGGCCGTCCCTGTGCCTAACCACTAAACCCCGCTCTTACCATGTTGAAAACTAAAATCATTAACTCTTTATAGGCTTTTATTAATTTGCTATCGACAGACACAGTCGTAAAGAGACTGGGCGGGAGCATATACGTTTAGGACGGAATAAAAGGCTACCAAAATGAGACACAATGTGTCTTTGGTGTGTGTTCTGAGAAACGTTTTTTTTTTTTTAATACTACTGTTACTCTTTATATGGCTAATATTTATTCATAGTGTGGACAAAGCTACCAAGTTTTATAAATTTTTCCATTTTGATTGTACCCTGCAGTACCACGACTATGCACGAAAGAGCCTTTTCTGCTGGTGACAGCAAGGGTTTTGAACGTTAAGCCATCATCATTGTAACCTTTTCGTCACCGTCGTGATCGTGCTTACTATGAAAGCTAACCTCAGCTATACCTAGAAAATTTGCGTGTCTGTTTGTTGTGAAAACAAAGCATGGCTTTTTATTTTGTTGTTACAGACAGTAACTAGATCAATGGCATTAAATAGTAAGCTGAACAGATGGTACGTTCAGTATTTAAGCATGGCTACTGTGAATATGCCCAGATTCAAACCTAGACCAGCACGTGTATGATCTATATATGTTTTGCGTGACTAAAATCAACCTTTGTAGTTCGCTTAATTCGAACTTTGGGGATTGATTGACGATCAGCTATTTTCAGTAGCGGTCACGCCATCCTCGAAATAACAATAACATTGATTCTCGTTAGCCACATTTATTATTATGCATGTAAACAGATTAAAGCGTCTGGCTAGCAGTCGCCTAAAAAGCCCAGATCAGTGTAACTCTGCGCCGTGGGGTGCCTTCAAGTAGCATAAATTACGTTGGAAAATTTCTTCATTCCATTCTCTGAGAATAGGGAAAATTTATCAAAGCTTTTCCGTCGCCTTGAGCTAATGGTTTTGCTTTTTTTGCAACATCAGGATAGAGCGGAGGTTACCATCAGAAGCAGGTTCTTTGTTATACTTTCGAGTTGTGTTCTAATTTGATTCAATAGAATAGCCACACTATCGATCAATTCCGTGTCCGGACGGATATTTATTCAGGTTGTAGGAACTGAACTGAACATTTGTTTATACACATAGCATATAGATAATTAGTACTATATGTAGAAAAGAAAAAGACGATCCAAGGAGTACTAAACGAGCAGACAGTGATGTGATACCCAAAGCGGTCCGCTTCGTTATTACTGGGAAGGGAATATGACTAATTATAAGCTGGGTCGTTCGCTGAACGGGTCAGACGGATCCGATTGACTTCCGTATAACTGTCGTAGCGTTAGAAATGACCAAATCGATTCTAGCAAATGACCTTTTATCAACTTCTTACCGACCGTAAGAGAGCAATAGATGAGTTACTGATCTATTGGTTCGATTAGAGTGAATGGTATCCTTATTCCAACATAATTGAAGCACGCTAAATAAACAGGCCCTCGTTATTCATTATTCAATGGCCCAGTAGACAAATGGCGGTATGATTTTACAAAATGCAGACCGCAAACCCCAGTATTGGTGGATATTTTCAAGAAGATGGCCCTATGTCTTGTATCTGCATGTACTTCGATTAGGCTACCCTAGCAGGCAACCCGGTCAATATGCGCACAATTTTCTCGATATACAACCAGCCTTCAAAGGCATTTTTATGCGTGGAATTTAATAATATCATTGATAAAAATAGAAACATTTCTTCTATCCATATATCCAGGATTGGTGGGAAGGGAAATAGTTGACCTACAAATAGTAAACGCGTATACATGAAGCTAAACAGGTGTATTTAAGTTAGCTAATTTAATGATAAGAGCGGACATATGACTGGTAGATAGTTGAAGTGGCCGTCATTTCCCCTTGCACCGCGTCCATCTTTCCAAGCATTAGATACATCTAACGCCGGTTTTTTTTTATAGCAAAAAAAAAAACAATGATACCCAAGTCTATTTAGAATTTATTATCATAGCCTGTTGTCCAAGAAGAGGATCCAGTTGTGGTTATCTACAGGAAACGTATAGATAAAAAAAAAATACACCTGCCCGCGTAACGATTATTATATATGTACCAATATCGAAGCATGGTAAACATGATCTATACCTGAAGTGTCCTGATTTAGAAAGGCTCCATAAAAAAAAAAAAAAAAAAGAGCTTCTGATGCTGGTACACAGATTGTATATTGTGTGATTATTTTTCGTAGCAGCATCTGTTCATTGTCGCGTTATTGTATAGTTAATGGACGAAAGCAACGTTAGACGTGCTCGATAGCGATACAACGAATACGAATTATTAATGGATCCGTACAGACAGTATTCGGCACATGTGTACATCTTGTGCACATCCCTGATGCACAATTAACGTGACGTTGCTATCGATGACGCGTCGTTCACTCTCTGCACGGCGTTTCCTCCCTCGATTACAATGTTTTCCCCGCACGCAGACTTGTTAGTGGTTCGACAAACAGGTAAGGTTTTTCATCAGCAAGCCGTGCTTTGAAATCGTATCAGATCCCAGTAATGAAATTTATCGAAGGTGATTCTAAGGATATTGCTGATATCACAGACTTCGTGTTTTGTATGCCTTCGAAGCCTTTCGCGACCAATCGCTATACTCTGCGACAAACCGATGAGTGATAAGTGTCACTTTTGACAGAGGTGCATTTGGTAAAGAAAATTTACCAAAAAGTCGATTAACTAAAACGCAACGAAAACGTTGTTTTGTTAAAGGACTGGAGATTATGGAAATTTCTAACAGCAAAACGGCACCACACAATTACCAGGTAAATCAGACCACCTTCTGGGGAATTCGAATTTTCTAAGTCATATGCATATATAGGTGTATACACAAGGGCCGTGCAATATGCATTTGATTAATACGTATTTCATACAAGTTTTTAAGGGAATTTTCAAAAGGAATAAGTAGGTCACGGCGTAGCAGGCCGCATGAACAAAATATTGCTCTGTGTCTCATTGCATGCTTGTTTCGATAACAAAAAAACGTCGAACGGTTCTAGGTTCGGACGACCCGCACTGAAGTAAGTGTTGCACGTGAGTCAATGTCTGATGTAAACTTTAAGGGTATTTATAAACATTTTGATCTTTCTGCTCGAATGTACGGCAATCCACGTTCAGTCACGAAGTGAATGTATGAGACATAATAAATTAACGAAGAAAAAAACGCGGAGTATTTTTCTAGCAGAAGGAAAAGCGTTCGTTTTTGAATGATTATAATAGTCCGTACTTGTTTCGCTACACTTAACCGCCTGACATAGTTTTTCTCAAGAGAAATGAGATCAGACCTCAGAAGGGACTGGCCTGCCTTTTGGGTGTTCGTACTGGATTCGAGTAGAACATCACGAGTCATTACGCTGCACTATTACTGTGTCGGTACCTCGAATAATACAGCAGTGATGTCAGCGATCCCTCTTCAGTTACCCGACGATAAAACTTCACCGACGTCCGTTATCTCTGCCTTGATGCATTCACATTACTACCTTCTTCCCATCTCATTGTCAAATGGACGAATTTGCTAGATCAACGCTAGTCGTTAAAAAGGAACAGTCTGTGCCCATTCGTTTAAAGGAAAAGGACACTATTCGGCCTTTAGACTAGAAGTTTAATTATAAAAATCTAACTAGCGACAACCTATATTCATTTTGTCTTTTACATTTATGTAGATCATATTATGAAGGCTAGCTTTGTCAAACTTCTGTTAGTGAACTCGTAGTAAAGCAATGCAGATATGGAACTTGATATGTGACCTACCTAAAAAACGTGCTCCATATCATTATCGTCTGCATTTTATCATTTGCTCCTTGCTCTTTTTTAGAAGAGCCAGGTAGTTATCCAAAATAATATTTGTACACGATAATCTGCAATGCTTTACTGCTCTCGATGGTGCAATTTAAATTGTTGGAATATGATAGAACTAAATTGCCTGAAGTTGTGTGATATAGTTAAAAAATTTGCACTTTTGTCAAGAGTAAATTCAAGTGAAGTTCAAGTCAAGACAACTACCAAACGTTCACACGGTTCGTCTCAGTATGTTCAGAATGTATTCTCTCAATGTATGTTATGGCTGTGCACTTGACCGGCATCCCTTACGCAGCTTGCGTCTCTATTGAAACCAGCCGACGTTTCAAAATCACGTTATCGCTTGGCTGGCGCTTAGAAAACAGTTACGGTTTGTCTCACCTAATCTTAACTGCTGAACCTACCTCACGTATGAATCAAAGGCTGCCAATCAATCACAACAGCAGCAGCAACAGCAACAACAGCAACCGCAACAACAAGCACAGCAACCACAACATCGAAAGCAGCCGTCACTCGCCCGTGGGAGGCGTAACCGATATCCACCCAGATCAATACCGGGCCGAAACACGACGGAAGCGAGGCCCCCGGCACGAAGCTCAAATGGGTATGGGCAAGGACAGTCAGGACAAGATGGCTCCCCTGGTCCTACGAACAAACTTCCAGCAAATACCTTTTCGGCGGCCAGCCCACCTTTGCCTCCGACAACGAATGCTGCCACTGAGTCGCGTGAAACTTCGCCCTCGCCATCGACGCCACCGCCGACGGACCAAAAAACTGAGCACATAAAATACGCAGCTGAAGCAGCACTTGAGGTACTGATTGCTATTTTTGTAGAATACTGGATAAGTTAATAACTCACAAGCGGTTTAAAGCAAAAGAAATTGTCGATCTGGATGTGATGAGAGCAAGTATCGTCACTAAGAAAATGTTATTTAATAACTTAGTTGTTGCACAGAGAAGTTTTCTAAGCGATAATAGGTACATTTCAAAGTTGATTTGGTCGAGATATGTCATAGTTCAAATACTTAGATGATTATACAGCTACTTAAAGTGTTATGACATGTTAGGGCTTCCATGGGCGATTGACAGATCTACACGGAATAAAGTGGTCGGCTGTATTAATATTGCTCTATATATCGCAGATCCGATTTTGAGATGTTTGGTCAATTTTTGTACTGAATTTTCATGTAGAATTTCATTGCGCACCTGGAAGCGCTCATGTTGTGCCCACCAGCTCCATGGCGTGGCGATATTCTGTCAGCCGTACTTTCGGAACACCTCTGTCTGATCAGTTCGTGTAGCCGGAACATTCATCCAATAGATAACAGAATCCATCACGCCGCACGAAAGCTCTCGATGCTCAAGCAATCTGGAAATCTGCACCTGATACTGCCGATAGTTCCACCCCCAGTTGACACGGCTTATCGGCCGTATCCTGCGCCCATGGCCAATCCGCCGACCACAACTTACCAGGACAATTTGACGACACCATCGTCACCAACTGTGTCTCGGCCACCCCAAGACCAGTCGGATCCAGCTCTGAGGGAATTCGCCGATCCAGCAAGTTCTGATCAGGCAATACATGGGCCGCCTGAGCAATTCCAGATTCCCCAACGGCAGCCAGTAGGACCGCAACCTAACCCGTCGCCCCACTTGCCTCAGGGGCATTTACCTGTACCGAATCATTCACCCGCCATTCAAGTAGGCGTTCGAGCCAAGCGATTATTCTAACTTTCAATTTTTCATTTTATCTTATCCATATATACCAAAACTTTTTTGAAGTATTTTTTGGCCCCATAAGATCATATTTTTGCATAAGATCAAATAAGTACTGGGTATAATGCTATCAGTCCCACTGAGACATTTTCAGTGGCGTTTGCTTGAGCCAGCTTAACTTGATAGATAACTATTATTCTAGGTCTATAAATAGCCAACACTTGCATCCTTTCTCAATCTTCTTCAATTTATTAATAATCCCACTGATGAGTAAATAACATAACCCGAGAAATAGCTAATAATATAAATCAATAAGATCTGTTGTTATCAGAATGAACAATTATTGTTTCTAAAACGAGGTGCTTCGAAATAGGTTCGTTTATCCTTAACGTAGCTGACTCCTTCGTTTGTTAAATTTCTCTTTCTTCTAATCTAAGTCTGTTCTGATCCCATCATTACATCAGGATCCGATAATCGGGACTGCACCAGCAACACCAGTTCAAATGACCTCCTTGCCAGATATCGACCAGCATCATTCGACGATGCCGCACCTATGCAAGTCAGCTTCCAGGTTGGCTCCGCCACCATATCCACCCCACGTGAGGCCACACTATCAGCCATATGACCCCAATATTCCAGCCCCAATCATTCCGAGCGAGCCTTCTTCATGCCCCGCTGAACAATGGAACGTTCCCAATCAATATCCGATAGCCTATACGTTTACAGGTGGGACTCAAACAACGCAGCACCAAATTCCCGCTGGAGGTGTTTACCATGCACCGGAGTACTACGTATGTCCACCTGGCAATTACAGCATCCTACCTGCTGCGCCGATGATGTCGTACGGTTCCTCGTACACAGGGGGCTATCAGCGAGTGCAAGGGCAAAATGGTCGGTATAATTAAATATCGACTGGTGATGGAATGGGACCATGAAGGTTGTGTAATGGATAGATGCACACATCGGGATGAAGCAAAAAAATTCTTTGTATTTTCTAGACACTTCTGCTGCCGTAGTGAGAACACAGCAATAGAAGACGCGTAGCTTAGAGGCAGCAGGATCTCAGTAGTTTTACCGATTGTTGTTGGTTGTCAAACACTATGGACAAGCAACGCATATACCTAGAAATACTAACTGTCCGAACTGTGACCTGTATACATTGAATTGTAGGCGTCGCCGGTGTTTCAACAGGACAGAATGGCAGTCTACAAGTGCTTCATGGAGTTGAAGGATGCTCTCAGCCTCCGGCTTCAAGGACCCCAACAACGGAGTAATAACATGAATAAGCGTTCATTCGCTTTAATTTTTCGTAAAAATTTAGATAATACTATTACCATTTGCAATGTCGTAAGCGATCAACTTTTTGTACTGAAAATTCTAGGGTCAAATCTAGTCCATCAAATAAACCATCAATCATGTACATATACATCGATGTGTGTTCATAATATTACGGGACGATATACGGACCAATTGCATTAATATGTGCATCAACTCGAACGGCGTTCCAGTAAGCGTTCACAGCGAAGTGTTATTTTTATTGTCGAACAATTCTCTTTTACGGAGTGGATATTCTAACGTATACATAAAAGAGGTCGGCCGCGTTTACTAATAAAATGCACACTATATGAATAGAACAAGATGTGTCTTACAATTCCGTTACATGCAGGTATTCCTGCACACAAGGAGATCAGTGACATACCCTATACACACGTGTTATTTGTGCCTGAATAGAAGTGGGTAAAGTGACCTTTTCACGAACCCAAGCACAGATCATGTATCGACCACGTTGTCCAGTTAACGGTAGGTACACCACGTGCTCCTTGTGGGACCGGATCGTTGTAGCTAATTGCTTTGATTTGACGCAATGTAATTCCGTTGGAAAAGGCAAATCGAAATATGGCAGAAGTTTAAAAAAATCGTGTGACAAAAAAAAACAGGCCATTTTTTTTTAAGGTGTAATGCGTACACATACGAATTCAGTGATCCAAAATTAATGCAATACGCGGTTAGTTAGAATAGATGCTATCCAATATTTGATAGGTTTTTTTTACTGCAGATTAGGGCCAAAAGTTACGGAAGGGCCAAATGTCGCCATTTGTATATTATTTCTCAATAAAAAGTGTCTATAGTACGTGAAAAATGAACTAATAAACAGTTAGGGGAAAAAACTGTCATCGTAAAAATGGAAATAATTTGTTTCTATCATAATCAGCGTTTAGTATGCCTGCTATACTTGTGACGCGAACTTTTTTTGGTACATAGAAGTCTTTAGGCAGCTATTTAACGTTTACAAGCCCTCAAATGTTTGTGAGAATCAAATTATTACGAGTGTAAAAGTTTGAAATGAACGTAATTATGACATATTTAGATGTTTCTACGTATTTTCGGTAGTGCGATCGACTAACAGCGCTATTTAAGCTCTGAATTGCAGTACGATGACGTTATAGGGTGTCTTTATGTTTTTGCCCCGGGTTTCGTCATAGATATGAACCACGTTTAGCTATAAATAGTGATTCGGTTCACAAACGAGGCCAATAACCATTTTGTGTAGAACAAGCCTATTTGTGGAGTCTTTCTGTGTTTTTTCTCTGGCTTGCAATTAGCTTCACCTATACTTCTAGGACACCTATGCCATAGGACAGCACAGTAGCTTCGTCTAGTAGTTTGCCACCGTCTTAGTAGAAGACTCATTGCCACATGAGCCTCCACTCAATATGGCCTCACTAATGTAAAACTTAATGAAGTGTCTCAGGCTTCACGTCCCGTTAGGGATTGCTTCAGATGTATGGCTCACATTACAAAACGAAAAGAGTCTGCCCAATTTTGAACCTAGACCACCGAATAACTTCCTAAGTTTAATAGGTAGACACGCTACCACTGCACTATTACGGAAGTTAGCGGCATAAACATAAACTTTCTGATTATCTGCAAACGAAGTGGCAACCGAGATTTTTTACAACGCTTTTCGTGCGTACTTTAGCCTATATATTACAAACATATGTGGAAAATAAGTTAGAACACTCTCTGTGTATTCAGGAACAAAAACAGTTTAACTATATGAGGCCCACTTAAGGTGTACCTGGGACACCTACTAATACAGATTCATGTGGTATTTTACAATTAGAACTTCAGCTCATCATTTATGTTATTGACGATCCGCAGAGGGGAAGAATGTGTAATTGCTCCACTTATAGGCAGAGTCGCCTCATAGGCTGGATTTGTTTATGCTTAGAGGCTGAACGTACGGAACGGGATGACTGCTGGCAAACGGATCTCAAGCTTACTTAACTATACCCACGCTATGTTTATGAATTGCTACCATTTAAATTGTACATTGGACTATTTCGCTGAGACGTGTCTGTGGGCATTGTCTCTATGCTTAATTGAATGTCACGTAAGAACGTTCTATAGACTTAGAACGTCCAACAGCCGGATTTGCCGAACGTATTGTCACCGTGTCTGCGTGTCACCTTTGGTGCGTCGGTACTCAGTCCTCGCATATTAACATGAGCCTAATTTTTACAGCATATTATTTAGATTTATCAGCTATTTCCTGCATAGATACACTTTGTGTACAGTAGAGAAGGATAGCGATTTAAACCTCTAAAAGGGGCTGTTGCATAGCACATAATGGAGCGTTTCCATGATGGCACAGTGCTTATATGTTTACCAACTAAACTGGGGACATGTGACATGGTCTAGGCTCGAAAACTGGCATAGACACACTTTGTTAGCGTGATAAAAAAGGCCATCACCCGACGCCAATGATGCTGGTGAAGGCAATACCAGAAATGAACCTGGAAATATCTTTAACTTTAGTTCGACACAAAATCACCAGTACAGACCAAGAAATAACACGTGACCTCAGTATGGGTGATCCCAAGAAATTAAGTATCTTGCTCTTTTTTTTTTTCTAGCAAAGCACAACCGTGTCATAAACTATCATCATACATTGCGTCAGATAAAAGCCTTTATATAGACCCCACGTAAAATTATGGAAGGGCAAATTTCTTAGCAATATGCCTGAAAAGAAAACTGTGGATAGTGCTATCGTAGGAAGTACTTCTTATAAACGTTACCATTCCTGAACGGACCATAAATCCTGATTGTCTCTCAGTGGGCTGCGTTCTCTATTTCATCTAGGATGTTTTGCGGCTTCATGTTCGACTACAAGAAGACGAAGAATGAAGCACTTGTTAACAGGGATTTCTGGGAGATCCTCCGTCAAATCTAACTGATTTGTCGAATTGCTCAAGAATAACTACTATAGCTTCAAAGCTTAGGACGGTAACCGGAAGATTCCTGCCCCTTCTTACCTTCGACTACCTATTATGTAGAAGCATTCCTAGCTTCGTATTGATATTAATAATATATACGAATAAATATGCTGTTCACTCGATGGGTTTGCCCGGTCAACACACAATCATTGTGTACACAATGCGATATGGCACAGAATGGGCTAACAATAGAAATAATCATGTGCATTCGTCAGCATTGAAGCTGAATAGCATTATCAAACCCCTGGCCCCATCTAGCATTATAGCTATTTATGACCCAGTTTTTGTTAGTGTGCACCGATTGGCCTGTTGCCAAAGTTATTCTATTGCTCCCACCAAATAACGACTGGATTCCCCACATGTATATGTGTAACAATAAATACACGCCTATATGTGTACATTGTGTGTACATTTCTACATTGTAAAAATGACACCGAATCTATATATTAACGTTTCTGCCTTCATATACGTATAGATAACCAGCTTTGCCAATCGATGAAACAGAACGTGTTCGTTATAAATTAAATTTACTGATTACGTTTTTTTTTTTTCTAAGACGTTCCTAGCATTACTCATTTTTACAGTACAAGCTGATTTTGCTCATAATATTGGGTTAACAAGACTCTCTATTAGAAACACAATTGGTATAACAAGCTTTTCTTTCCCCGTTTTAATAAAATTATCTGTTGTTAAAAACTGTCTGTTGGAAATCTAGTACAAGTACACAGGTATATCCTAGCTACATGTCTAGATATGTTAAAAGCTGTCACAGTAAATAACACGAGCAATACAACTCGAACTACTATACTTCGTCTAACGAATCTAAATGATAAAACTCGGATTACCTTTGATATTAGCTGGGCTATTTCAATATTATATTAAACCCAACTATCAGTTTCAGTGAGACGGGTGCTTTGAAACGAACCCAAGTTTGCCGATGATTCACTATCGTAGATAGCTAAGCTTACTTTTACCATCTAAGGGCTACATATGTATACTGTATTGTGCTACGAAGGCCGAAATTCAGCAACGAATAGTTTCCTATCTTCAATCTATTATTCTATCAGATAAATGGTCTCCCGTGCACCCATCTTTTGTTCAACTCGAGAGAAAACCTCTAGTGGTGATTTTATCTGTCTTTTGTGCCTCAGCTGTAAATGTTATAGGATTTCATTTGTTACTGGTGCCAGAAGCAGGGCTTCGTCCTTCGAATGAATAAATAAAGGGCTTGTGAACGAACGCGTTCCCCACTCTGGCGACAGCCAACTTATACACTTCCTACCGTGCTAACTTGTCGTCATAAGTGCATATTTTGACGGCAGACCACATCGTATAGAAACATATGTACTGTTTTGGGCCACTCATTTCGAAAAAAAATTGTTCTCATGAGCGATCCAGCTATTCGCTCGAGATCATTATTTAACATTTATTCAACAACTGCTACAAATAAGGACAGCTAATGCTCCAAGACACTCGCAGACATGTTAGAAGATCAGTTTAAACGCGCGACACGTATGACGCCATACCAAAGACTATCTAAATATAAAAAAGACCCAATAGGGGCATGGTGTCGACAGTACTACAACATTTAACGGCCTTAGTATAAGAACGTGTAGTTTTTTCATCTATAGACATTAGAGGCGTATGACGTGTCACACCCCTCTTGCTTTCCTTACGTGGATCTGCCGAGCTGTTTCATTTAGTATTTGATAACCCTAATCTAAAAGCTAGAAAAGTTCGGAGGCGATAGAAAGCAAAGTGACGACCGGTTACGAAAAGTAATGTATTCCTTCGAAGACTGATTGCTCGTGCGAAGTTGAGTGCATTATTTCATTGAAGCGGGTTCGGCAAAGATCATCATCAAGCTGATTCTTGACTAGCTAATAAGGTCTATGTAGTAAAAATTCTTTCACACAAAGCTGGCCTGTTATAGAATTATCAAAGGTAAACAGTATTCAATTTAGGAGTGCGCCGACTTAAACGTTGTCCGTGCACGTAAGATAGGGACTTACACCAGGAAATACTAGAATTTCTGCGGTATTGGGCTGCACTGTCATCCAGCTGTCGATGACACCACTCGACGCTCGCCGATCAACGCCGTTAGTCCTGCTGGTTAACACGTTCAAGCTGCTTAACGCCTCTATGCTGCGTTTGACAAATTAGAAGCTGCCTATGGCCAGTGTCAACTCAATATTGAGTGAGCGCATGAGCGCCAAAGGGGTTCTCGATAAATAAGTTTTCAAAAGCGAGTGGGGAATCATTGGGGGGTTAGGAGCGTTCTGAAATCTCATCGGTAGTCCAAACGGCGCCGGGCCTTGTTGATAAAGAGGCCAGAATATACTGAATACAACATGCTCAGCAATCGAAATGGAAGGCGTATTAGAGGCCTGCGATAAGAAGCTTTTTTGAAGCTTTGACCTTCGCTGTTGACGCGCTGTTTAATTATATTAGCTTTGCTAATGTAAAAGCTATCTAGCATCATCTTAAACAACCGCGAACGGGGAATCTGTGTCAGCATATTTCACCTAAATAGTTCACCGTCTATATGGCTTAACGATTGTTGACTGTTATATTTTTAGGAGCTACATTACATAAAACGCAAAAAATGCCGTGGTTTTATTTAATAATACGATGGTGTTTTTTTATTATTTGAAGATGTGTACCGCTCGTAGCGAATGTAAAGGACCCCGTATTTGTGAACACGTGTGTACATGTACATCTGTAATTTTACGTTTGGATCCTGCTGATTTTTTCCCCGAAAATCTTGACCAACATATCGCAGCATATCTAAGCGCTACCTTAAACGAGTGGCTTAAAAATCTTTCCTATGTACTTCAGTCCTTGATCGTAATGCGACTACAATAGTAGGGAACAGGGTAAGCCCTGCTAACACTGAAATGTTTATTCACGTCATACCCTTATGGTTGAATTTGGCACGGTAGAAAAAGCCCGAAAACGCCAAATCAATTATGTGCGCACGATACTAATTCATCTGCGGTACGTTTTTAAATAAACAAATTCTACCCTTTGTTCACAGTTGTGTATACATCTGGTGTATTTGCGTCAATCATAGTTGTCTGTTTTTTTGCCGTTTTTCAAAATGTTGATTTACCGAACAGTTTAGAAAATGTCATTTGTAGAAAACAGACGGCTATTTCGTATGCTAGAGTGTTGTTTTCCTTTGAAAAACGTCAGAAATAGGCAATATCACACGAGGTAAGGGCGCGCTAGAATCAGTTTGTACTTGTAGTATATAACCATATCGATGCGGATTCACTATAGTATGCGCCGTATTATAATAATTAATGACTATTGTAAGATTTACTGATTATTCAGCCAATAAACCAGCATACTACGTTCGAATAATCTTCATCTTACAGCTTCAGCACTTCATCGTTGTATGGACGTCAGTATGTGTGGTACATCCTTTTCCTATTTCATCGTAATTCCTAATGTGTTTGTAAACGCTTTTTTTGTAATGCAGGGTTATTTCCTATAGAAAAAAACAAACAGAAAGAATATCACAACATGTTCTCCACGCATGTATTCTACATCACAATGACACTCTTTTTCCTATCTATTATTTTCTACAGGGCTTTAAACTCTTAACTTGTTGGACGCCGTACGACTGCCATTCAACCGTCTACATCCGTCTTTATACTACATAACACAGAAGCCGTGTTGCTGATTGTGGCTATTGGTTCAGTCTTGGTATTACCTAACTACAATATACGAAGCTTAAATTAAATTCAGTTATTTTGCCCAGTGGGTAAAGATGGCTTTCTGATAACGCACGTCGAGTTGAAAGTATACCCAGCCGACATAAATGATTGTGCTGGACACATGGAGTACCAACACTCAGCGTGTGTTTCTTGTTGTCCAATTATTATCGCAAAAATGACAATCAAAATAATAGTTTCACAATTAAATAACTTAATTAGATGGCGTAAGTTGAAAGGGCAATAATATAATAGAATTGATAATAGCTTACACCCTCGATGATTTGCTTGGCTTAGCTGTGTGGCCTCGTGATCTCTTTTCTGTAATCCGAACTTCCTATAGGCGATTTTCATTGTTTTGGTTCAGATAGCGCTATGTTACAGCTTTGTTTGTGCTGTTGTAAGCCAACTAACTTATACAAATAACTTAGCTGTTTTATTTCAAACACTAGCTCGTCAAAATACAATTATATAATTAATGCAAGCTTGCCGAAAATCGTCTATACTACGTTGTATCCTACCCAAGTAACAACCGCATGAGTCTCATGTACCCGGAAGCACGAAGTCATTTTAAATAGAAGTGCCACAAAAACCAGGATCATCGCTATAGTTTATAGGTTTATTCAGAACAGTCCTATATTCCTTGTAAGGGTACATCCGTTTTTTTCGACTTTGTCAACTCATTTGACGACTATTTTGCTCCTCAATGCTCTTTCGTTCTCGGATCATCTTAAATTTTCATTACCAGCTTATTTATTATTTTGGGAGATAAGCCAATATGTGGTTGTGCCGTTTGAGATAAGATAGTGAGAACAGATTTGGATCTTTTCCGCTGATAGAGGCAAAGCTTTCCTTGAGAATCCGTCCATTCCTAGAAATGGACATAAATGTAGCTTTTGCTTCCCGATGGGTGGGGATCGCCGTTTCTCCATCTATTTGCTAGTTTATAAGGCACAAGAGTGCTGGTTCAAGCTAATGTTAGCACGTTTGTGCCTAACCAACGTTAGCGTTGGCTACACTCGAAGAAAAAGAATGGGGAAAAATATGGCATCGCTGTCTATTATTTGGCGACGGTATCTCCAAACGTTCCGACCAATCGTCCTACACTTTTCCATCGTTCACGTCGCCGTAGAGACTTTCCCGTCTCCGGCTGCCTCCACCGGCACTGTTTGATTCGCCGTAAATATGCATTCCCAACTCATCTTCGCCAATCTCGTAAGCGTGGTTCATCCGTTCCCCAAACAGGTTCTCGGCCTTCTCGCGATACCTAGAAAAGGTACAAGGTCACAGGAGCCGAAAATACAACCGGACAGAACACAGGAGAAACGTTAGACACATAGTATTTCCAACTGTTTAACGTTTCAAACGATCTGACATCGATACCGATCTCCAGTAGATTACAAAGTTAACGTACCTTTTACATAGTGGCAGTATAAAACGAGTTGTACAGGATAGTAAAATATAGGTCACTGCCCTTGTACAAGGAAAGGCCAGCTAGCTGCTATTTAAATGGGAATAATAGACTAAAGCCACTGGTCTTCACAAGCGGGCTATCAGTGGCGGGTCATTTCGTATATCCGCTTAGGTCGTCGAGGAAAAGAGTGCCACTATTCAGGCATAGGCAGCCGCCCGCACGGCCGTAGCCTTTTACAAATTATGATTAAAATAAGGACATGCGGGTCATAATAAAGCTAGATAATCGCTATTCGGATTATCCGAAAAACCTATTTTAGCCAATTCAACAATGAATCCTGTTCGTTTGCATTGTATCTCGTTCAACTATATAATTATTTTGTCTATATTTTATTCACTAGTACCAGAATTCGAGTTTGTGGTTCGTTTATTTTTGCCCCTTATCGTGTCCACATTATTATATAATTAGCAAATCTCGATTCGAATAGTTCGACGTGCAAAGCCAAGTCTGCCCTTCTATGCTCTAAAATGTCCTCGGCAAAATCGCTCTTTCGACGTTAGCCTCCACTGTACCATCCAACCGTCGACGCAGAAGCCTAAAACACATTTCACGAAATTGTTGAGACAAGCCGTCCACGCATCTTTAACCGATATGCTATTTTTCGATCGACATCACTCTTGCGTGCAAGGTACACAAACTGAGTTTCCAGCTGCAATCTTCGAAGCTCTCCTCGTTCCCTTGATCTCTTGCTGCTTCGACGTTTTCTTTAGTTGTAGTGGAGCCGTAGGCAACCACTAGCCTTCGCTGTCACTTCATCCAGTTCCCCGAACGAGAACGGGGCTCTCACCACGACCGCGTCAAGTAATTAGAAATAATTTATTTGTTCCAGATGAGTTTAACCGAGATGAAGTGAATAGACAAAGATAAAAGAGTAGCGCCTAGATGTCGTGTCCTAGCGGGCCTCAATCACGACTCACCGATATAGCAGCTTAAGTAAACGAATGGCTGCCTAACTGGATTTTTAGAAATGCTTATGTAGTCATGCCAAGAGGTATCCAGCATAATGTGGTTTTCACGCGTTGTATGTGTAGCAAACAGTGTTTCGTCGGTTCTTGTGAGCCATTTGGCTAAATGTAATAATGCAGATTGAATAGGTCCACGTTCGAAAAGCGCTTAAAATTTGTATTCCTGGTTCCAATTAGTTTATGAAAAAACCAATACCCGGATAAACACCTCTAGCAAAAGCGGCGATAATATTTCTAATTTGATGGAAATGTGTTAGTATATTCTAATAATATAATATTAGGCCTGTATAGCGTCTAAGTATAGTTCAACGCGTAAAACCTGTAAGCCACAACTGATCGCTAAGGAGGCGCGTCTGTCATAATTTAAGGTACAGTTGTGTATCCATTTGGATATTTGCTTGTGAGTAGAAATCTTTTTGACTAGACAACAAGTTCCAGTTCATCATTCAACTATGTCGGTTCTTTACAGCCTGCACCAAGTTTTTGCCACCCTTCTTCTCTTCTTCCCCTTGTGCGTAGGGTCGTATTTCACGTGATCACTTGATCTGGAGATCCGGTCCTTCTTCAGTAGCCCTTTGTTGCATTGTCAGCGTCGTGCCACTTGTATGTAACGTGCAAAAAAATATGTCAGTACGTTTACTTGCCTGAGAGTTCACGCATTCTCGTGCTGTGGCCAAGTGTATGGCCTATCGGATCTGCAGGCTTCGGCTGCGTGGTGTATGGCCGTATTTGTTTTTGACAAATGTTATTTTGCTGTCCTTTACCTCTTCTTCTTCTTCGTTTGCTAAACGCTAAACGTTGCCTATTCGTTAATCGTTGCATGTCAACTCAAAACGGTCTAAGTAATAACAGCAAAACTTTCTATCCAACGCTCAGAGTCTACTGTGTCTATCTTCCGTTTTAAAGCATAGCGTTTGAAGACAGGGCCAGCTAATTCTTCTCATCGCTAAGTAGCGTATCGATTTTTTTTCTAATCATCTTCCTACAAGTCGGTGACAGATAAGGCGTTCCGCGGGGTTCAGCAGTACGCGACTAGCGTGTAGGTAGCATCGTAATCTGCAACCTGTGCGCCTCATAGAAGCTTAAATCTTAGCTCGGTTGCTGAATACCCTTTGTGAGAGCGTAAATAAAGAACGATTTGAGAGTTGGGCAGAACATGTCGCATCATTGCATACACGACGCCTACAGAGACAAACGATGAGGAGGCGAGCTGCATCAACGCCAAGCTTGAGCCCCAGGGTTCAACCAGCAGTCAGCATAAAGAAGATTGTACTAGACGTTGCAGACACAGTAGTCAAATGGAAGTATAAAAAATCCCCGTCGATTTATTTATGTTTAATAAGACTCATCTGTTTTCCGAGAAGAATTCGATCTACATTCTAGGTGTTTCGTTCTGGAGAACTTGTTGGATCTTATGTTAACTTACTTGTGCACGACATCAAAAGCCTGTTATCTAAATACCTGTAAAGGGGAACATGCAAATCTTGTAATGCCTCGCTACCTTGCTTCATTGGGATTCACTATTCATTTGAACATAGTAGCTTAGCAAACAGGAAAAATAATAAAAATCAATCATACCTAAACCGCAAGAATAGAGTTTTTTTTTATGAAGTAATGCTGTTAAATTTGTTAAAAAAGCTTACCGTGCTCCACCGCGAGAGCTGGGAGCATAGGTGTTGTTAGCTCCTAGCGTCTCCATTTTCGAACGATTGTTCGCCTGTAGCACAGTATTTTTACGTACCTCGAGAGCCCGCAACGTATCACGATTGCGGCTTATACGTCGCAAATTATTGAGGACCGGTGCGCCTAAACGCATAAACAGATACTCCATTAACACAGTGCCGTTTTCAAACTTAACAAAAAACGCACAACTACAGCATTAGCTAAACACAGGTAAAAAAAATTACAAATTCATTTAAATAAAAAAAAATCGATTCTTTTTTTTGTCTATCCTCCATCTGATGTGCTTCAATTTAACGCCTGCTAGACAATTGTTAGGAGTAGCAGAGACCTTGCTTGTTCATCGCTTCGATAGGACTATGGTTATTCTAATATTTCCAATTTTGCAATTGTTGTCTTTAGCCATTCCCGGTTTTATTAATATCTGGCTGGAGCAGCGGTAGGAGCGAGATGACGGCGATATATATCGACTCTTTTATCTTCGCGTCGAATCTAGCACTGACTCTGCTGCTTATCGACATTCAGCTCAGCGTTTAGTCGCTAGGCGTCGGGGGGTGAAGACATGACATATAATAGTGTAGCTTGTGTCTCACCGTCGATTTTTTCTTCCTTTGAAACTGTTGTTTAATTTAGGACAGCTGTTGTCCTTGTTGTGTCTAGTGTCTTCTCTTGTAGTCCCACGATACTGGGTGTACCTTTAGTAGCTTCTTGGCGTTGCAGTTTCTAGAAAGTCGCTTTATTAAATTTCTCTCGTGCATCGATTCTATAGAAATTAGCAGCATGCCAAGTGATTTATACGTTCTTAGAATAAGTATCGGCACAAAGCGCAACCATTGAACAATATAAAAAGCTAACAGTACCAATGTGTACGATTGCGTATGGTGTCGACGTAGCCCACAGTTTACTTTAGCTACCATGTTCCAAGAAGCAACGAAAGGTTAAATGAAAATAGTAATAATAATTCGCTCGGTATATTCGCCTGATGTATATACGTTGAATAGCAGACGCTTTTCGAATACGATTTCCACAGAGAGCAGACTACAGTCCCGTTGGCGATTACGCCAGGATCGGAAATCCAACGTGAAGTTCTTCCTTTTCTGCCTTGTTCAGACATCGTTCTGCCGGCCGTTTTCGGCTTTATTGTTCGCTCATCAAGAAAAGTTATCCCCTCCATTTGTTTTCTCACCAGGGACCGTGGCTCCCTCTGTCAGGTGCTTGATTTTTTCGGCTTTTGAACGGTGTGCAATATCAGCACACGCTACGGTGAACGCTAGCGTCGAGCTTAAGTTAGCCTGGCCGGTCCCTGTATAGTCGTTTGAGGAGCCAAACCAACACAAGCTGATTTTCACACCAAATAAGAAGGTAGATTTCCACTATTTCTGCAATGGATGAATCAAACGAACAATAATTGCAATAGAGTATTGAAGTAAGCACGCTTCATTCTTCGATCCAAAACCGCTGAAGTGGACGGCTGCATATGGAGCTGCGGGATCGAAACTGGGAACAATTGGCTTTGTTTCGTAGTTTTGCCAACAAATCAGGCCGAAAAAGCCGAAAGGAGTGCAATGAAGGACTAGAGACTTATAAAAAAAAAAAAAAAGAATCAAACTTAGCCTATATTTAATTGGCAAAATGACACAATGACTGATTCGTGGCGCGAGCGTATTGAATATGGCCAGGTGTTGTAGTACCTGTCACGTTTCTCCAATCAGTGTTTTGAATCAACAAGATTTATACATACGATGCATCGCCGATTTGGATCAGCTCTGAAAATTGTTTAATTTTCTAACTTATATCATAGTCGAACATACACGCGATCAGAACAGCAAATCTCTATCTGAAACCCATCTTTAAGCAGAGTACCTGCGAATGATACCGCATCCTTTTGCTCAAAGGAGCCAGCTCCGTTTTTCGTGGAGGGGGGCAAGTATGATCTTTCTCAGACGAGCAGTGTCACGCTGAATAGAGAATCATAAAGGTATAAGTGCGTTGTCGCTGCGACTCGCTAGACCAAGGTGTCCAGTGTTTTTTGCCGCCAGCTTTTTGCCAGTCCGCTGCGGGCTTTTATTCCGGTGTCATGGCACCGGACCAAATCTACTCTTATCGTGCGATGCTAATAGCGCCGGAATAGCAAGTTTTCAAGCTATTCTTTCTCCTGTAGAGGACAGTGCTTCTTCAGTTGAGGTGGTATCGACAAAGTGCCTATGAGAAAGATAATAATGTTCGACATCGTTGACTGGTGACAAATGCCGCTACTATCGACATATTGTTACTTCTTTGCGGAGTTGGTGTGGATCGAGCCGGTTTCGTAAAGCCAGCGTAGCAGAAGACCGCTGTTAGGGGCCGCCCTTACGTAAAGCGACGAAGGCAACTGCAAACCGGTGAGCTTCTTGATGATTCAGGTGACCGTCTCCACCGAGGGGCATTTGGCTGTGCCGCTACGTCCCCTGTTGTAACGTATTGTGTTAAGTTGAACAAAAAACAGCTGTGAACAGCACTTTCCGTACAAATTTGCTTTGCCCTATTTTCATGCTTCGGCTATGACGTTGGAAACGCAGAGTAGGAAGCACAACATCGTAGCGTAGATTGATTAATGGATAGAAAATCAGAGAACAGGGCTTCTTTTTGCCGCGCATGCACCGCAAACGGATACCTCCCTGGTCCCATGTTTCATATTTGAAAGAAGAAATCGATTTATTTCATATATGTGTACGATCTCATTGTGCCAGTACCTATGACTGCATCCTTGTGAAACATCTAAGGCCGACTGAAATGCTGACGTCATCATAATGAAAATATAAAAAATCGTAATATATGCGTGCGTTTATGATTTTTTTTTTACAGCTAAGCGACATTTTTAGGGAAAATGTAAAATACGATAAAATTGGATGACTAGGATAAAAGACGCAAAACAAAAATCAGATTGGACAGAGAATATGAGGTATACAAACGTGAATCAGCTACTCACCGATGCTGCCATTATCGTGTTGTTCAGCGGAAATGTTCATGAAACGCTTTTTGAATGCAACATCAAGAGTACCCGTTTTCGTAAATTGGTTACGACGCTTTTCAAGGTTTTGTATTGTTTTCCGTCGCTCTAGACGATCGCTCGCGTTTTTGTACTCATCACTGTCGTCGTCGATCCCTAAAACGCGAAACATATAAATTAAAAAATAAAGCTGGATTGGTGTCCAAAAAATATCCAGCCTAGCAGCACTACAGACTAATGAGAATCGGGGTAGCCTTCGTGTGTGTTCAATAGATCATTGCGATCAATCATTGGAGAGAACGAGACGGCCGATACGACTTTAAGGAGATAAAAATCAGGACGATTTAGCCAATAGTTATTTATCTGCGCGTAGTCTACTAATGCCGGACGTTCGTAAATACTCAACATTGAGTGTTATCGTATGAAACCGATGAGGTTTATTTCGAGACGGCTCAGTCGTTCCAATCGAATCGAGCAATAAACACTCCGTGTAGTTCACTAAAGTAGCGACTTTCCCCAAAGGCTAGGTGTGGATATGGAAAAAGTCCTAAGCAAAGATAGGCCATTCGAATCGATTCGTACCCATCAATCACCTTCCCGGAAGCACATGCTTACGCTTCTACAATCCGACGGACATGCTCTAGTATTAAGGAGTGAATCTTTCGGACTTGAAGGATTCGTTGTCGAAAGATGCCTATCTAAGATGCCACACCGTGTGTAAGCTGTCATGTCACTTACGGATGAATTTTTACGAAAACGTAAAGTTGTCAATATTATAAAACATTGTTTAATATGAGCACATTGAAGTACGTAAGCATGTGAAGTAACTGTATTTTTTGATGCAAAATAAATTTTGATTTATTATTTTGAGAAGTGCAATTTTAACCTTGTTTAAATTGTAGCAACTAGCAATTGTAGCGAAGCTAAAACTAACGAAAAAAAAAAAGTAATAAAATATTGATACTAATTAAGTCTTGATTGGCTAAGCTTGGAGAATCGTTGCTCCCCTAATAAAACTATCGTAACAAACATACCTCGACCAATTTCTATTATTGATAATTGCGTCCGCTTCATGAAGGCGTGAGTGACTCGGTGCTGATTGATACTGACCTTTGAGCGCCTGTAACTGTCGGGCAATCTGAATCGCGTTCTTGTCGATGAAGGCATCATCGGATATGTCCACTTTCTGGGAACAACTCAACTCGATAGAAGCAAGCATGTGAGACAATGTTTCGAAACGGTGGAAACACATGCCGAGAAACTGAACAAGCGTGATGAATCCGAAGAAGATAACGAATATCAAACCTGGATATATAGAAAGAACCCCATTCATTAGCGTTTATAACCGCTTAGAGATGTAGAGGATTCAACTGCAGAATATCACACATCCATTCACCAGACGCACCATCTTTGCTCGGAATAGCTTGCCAAAGTGAAAGCTTTATCTGACTCAATCGTTACTTAGTTCAAGAGCTTTTCTCCTTTATTAACGTAAATCTTAAGTTGCCTCGTCTGACATGATCTACGTACGTACGTACATATATACGTACATACGAAAATACACACATATTTAGGAGCTCAAAAAGATTGCCCCTTATTGACTCAAATAGGACTATAGACTCAAATAAGCACTATCACTAATATTGCCCCTATAGACTCAAATAAGCAAGGGTAAACAAACTACATTATAAGTGCTATGGTCACTGTTTATCTTTCTTGCACAAATCTGACCTCCAAAAAACCTTTCAGATGCCATACAATAACTCTTTCCATTTAGTATTATATTTGCATCTATATCCCCCAGTACTGTCTTAAGGCATTACTTCAGGTCTGGCAATCGAGATCGGCTCTTTAAACGATACAATATATATGTATACATATTGTAATGATAGTACCGGGGGTAACCGTTTATTTTATTATCTCTATTGATACAAGGGAAGCATATATAATACTAGATGGAAAGGGTTATTGTATGGCACTTGAAAGGTTTTTCGGAGGTCAAACTTGTGCGAGGGAGAGATATATACATGTCCATTCAAATCAGCCCGAACTTTCGACGAGTGCATTACGTTCCAAACGTCATTGATTATCGAAACTAGCGCGTTTCTCGCTATTTCGCCTTTATGCCGCTGGTGGGCCTGTCAGCATCCGACGTTTTCCACTATATAGTATTATGCCCATAATATATCGTGTCCAACTTATAGAAGTAGCCACCCACTTGATCTTTATACGCCCATCGTTATCATCAAGTGTCGCTCCGTTCCCTCGTTACTTCAACTTCTATAACCATCACTACGATCTACTATTTCCTTTACAAACGCCGCCAAGCCGCACGGGGCGCAAGACGACCAAGAGAGGGCCTGACTAGTGGCCACGCAGCCCTTACCACTTCCACCACCGTATCACGGATGAGGTCCGGTTATGGGCCGCAATTTTTTACAGACTGCTTCCCGAATTTTCTAAGACCAACCTCATCATTAGTCGTCCAGCCGACAATGTCAGCTACAACGTCACGGTTCCCCTATTACAGCCACTACCGTGGTTGTTACCACAGCTACGATTACATTTGAAACGGTCGATTTGTCGCTTGTACTTTACGTTACTGCCCACAGTTCTCTCGTCTATTCTCTGCTTCATTTCTTCGTGGGATCCGGACTCGCGTATGGTCTCCTTTGTCACTCAAACCCCTTCTGACCTCCTGCTGTTGCACCGCTACCCCTGACGCTGGCGTGGCTATTCGCTCGTAATAAAGTGGAAAGTCGACATTCGAAAGGTCGCTATCGATCCTGTGTCCAGCGGCTATCCAATATGCACAGCCGCCCTCCCTAGAGGCTGCAGCATTGAAGCAACTGGCGACGAACGAAACTCAGTCAGATGAATAGATCTGAGCTGCCCATCCGTTGGCTGTGCTCGTGGTTGAGTGTTTACAGAAAGCGAATTGGTAAGCGGTTGCCTGCATGTTGACATTTTCTGCGCGAGAAGCCTTTTGCCGAACGTTTTACACGGCTGATGACGTCGACTATGGTAACATTTGCCTAAACTGGGATGATTATCTGTTGCCGCCATGATCTCGTCATCATTAAAGCCTTTGCTGCCTTACTCGTCACCTATCGTCGGCAAAGGCATTACTACCTTGTACTGACAGGTCCTGTTGGCAGGAAGCTTATGTGCTCACATTATTTTAGGGGCATTCCGGCAGAGCTTTGTCCGTGCGACAACACTGCTACCCTCGCATAGCAGTGACAGAGTCGAGGCTATCGTGTGATGATGGAGGAGGTGAAGCTGCTCCTCGGCAGCTCGCACGGGAAAAAGAAGACCAAAAACCCCAATTGTTGATCGAATTGACTACAATTCCGCGTGTACAAAGGGGAGTTGCTGTTACCTCACCTTCATAGATATGGTGTTGCTACAAGAGGCTCTTGCACTAGCAGTACGCCATAGCTTGTATAATTTACTGATAAATGCACAAAAGGGAATCGTGTGACAAAAGTAAGGTTACTGGGGGGAAGGAGAACGTGGGCTACCCCTGATGTTCTGATACAATCGTAGCGAGTGCAACAAACGAAAGATTAGCTGGAAACCAGGACTTCCATTTGTTATCTATGGTTCGTTGATCAGGGACTGCTGCGTATGCCTTGAAGTGGGTCTGTCCAGTAGAAAAGTTATTGAACAGGCCTTGCCGCCTACGAGTTGAAGTATCGCTGGACAACAAAATGTCACACTAAATAGCTGTTGGCAACTCGACATGTACTAAAATGCCAGGTACGTTGTGCGTTGGAAATATAGCCTTTTTCTACTATAACAGGTCTATATATACTTCTGTCAATGGCAACCTTTTTACGTATATTAACTGACGCTGTTTCTTCTGACATTCAAACCTCATTTCTTCCTTAAGTATAATTCAATACAACTTTTCGCCACATGCGTCTTATGCCATGTGCGCAGTGGGGTATCTCATAGATTTATCTCAGTGCTTTTAACCGTTTGCCGGCAATTGGTATTGAGATTTAATTGTAATGATGACAGCAGCTAAACACTAATCCGGACCACTTTAGAAATTTAGGTAGTCAGTGACACTCAGAAATTTTGCAGCCTTTTTGTTTATCTGCAAACGTAGACCATGTTATCGACATACCGATAGGTTCAAGTTGGAGGTACTCCTTTTCGATGATGACTTGGGAGGTGTCGGGAATAAACGTGATGTTTGTTTTTACCCCAAGCGGCCAATTAATATGCAGCTGTTTCTTATTCAGCTGGAGCAAGAAAACGATCAGGATGAAGAGTGCGTTGAACATGATAAATGCGAATACGACCTTGTTTCGTAGATCTTTCAGGTCGCGAGCAACACGGGCCTGTTAAATGAAAAAGTTATTAAAAGTCAAATAAACAGTATATATTGTTATATACTTTTTGTTGTATTGCTGGATCAAAGTATACAGAACGGTTCTCCAACGTAGACTTCGCCGGAGATTTCCTCAAGGTATTGGAGTTGCATTTTACTTATTGAGCAAACTAAACTTCTTCAAAAATTAAGATAGTCGATAGAAACACGAAGAAAAAAACGATAGATAGAAAACAACGATACAAAGAAAATTTTCCTTAGTAAACGGCCAAAAGGCTGCCGATACCATCAGCTCTTTCGAATCAGAGATGGCAAACCGCACGAGGATTTAGCAACTGGAAATGGCTTATTAATTTCAAATATAATATTCCGAAGTTAAAGAATATATTCCACTGGATTGTTCGGGTTTGACAAGCTACTTTCTAGATAAAGGATACTTGTTAGATGAAGCTAGATCTCGTTGTTATAGAATAGGCGGCTCTACAGGTTTACTTAATTGTGACAGTAATCTTTAATAATCGTCAAAGAGATTAGCGTCACAGATTCAAGTCTCTTTCCACACGACTAAAGCTATGCACTTTATGTTCAAGGTAGAATTTTATGAGAAGGACAACGGCTCAATAGGGCAAAGGAATCGCTCTCTAACCACTGATCAACCGGGAAAAACATCTTATTGTAACTGTGTACGTTGCTTGTATTGATTTCTTCCAATTTGGCTGGTGCTACCAAACTGTAGCTATCTGAAGCAAGAACTCTCTCTAGCCATGGTTTGTTGTACGAAAGCGGAGGTCTCGAGATAATCTCTTCTTTTACCTTCATTTACTTGTCGGTCATTCCGGTTATCTCTACACAGGAGCAAAGAAAATTGTTTGCTTTATGCTACAGTTCTTCGGTTGCGTACACCTATTGTTTAGCTTTATCAGCCTATCATTCACAGAGATTTGTCACAAACGATTCCTCGATGTTTTTTTTCTCTACTCTTGAATGATACTACTCTACAATGATAATTTTTATGGTTGATTTCAATAAAATTGAGGACAATTCTTATCAGTGACATATCAATAATTTCCCAAGCGCTCGAACATACCAAGTTTTCGTTGTGCCGTTAGAACCGCAAAAAACGTACTTTCAGTTCGATAACGAACTACGAGGAGTACGAAGGACCATAATACAAAAACTCAAAATGGTAAAAAGCCACCACGACGAGTAACAGTCTCGTAAAAACCAAACTTATCTCGACAATATAATTGCTAATAGATGTTCCTTTCTCTCTAATAGCCGGTAATTTCTGCGTCAAAAATCTACGTGCATCAAAAATGTCGTTTACGCCATTTTTGTGAAGTTTTATTTCTTTAAATTTAAACTTCGTCAAAGATCTTTCGGTTAGGTTTGTAAACTTTCCTTTGGATTTCAGAAGCTGCATGAGAACTGGTAAAGGAGTTCTGTTCACTTTCGTTCATTGGGTTCGTCTAGCGCGAAAAAGATCAGAGAACGTCTGATCCTTACATTACCAAAATTTCAAAAAGGACGTATTATTTTTCACTACGATGAGTTTGTTGTTTGTTTGAAACGAACTGGCTTCCGTCTTATACCAGAAGTAGTGATTGAGCATATGCTTGTTATGACGCACAGGCCTCTATAGGTTTCCTTAATTTAAACCCTCGTTATCCGGTATATGTATTTATGCCAATGAAACCATAAACATTTCGCAGTAAGCAGCGGCCTGCTAAGGACTCGCACTTTTTTTTTTCATTGTGATTCGCTGCTAATTGACTGAATCGTGTCGAATAGGAAAACGACTCGGCAGAGGAAGGCAGCTAGGCGATAACCTCGACAGCTCCATCAATATTAATCGAAAGATGTCTCACTCTAATTATTTAAATAGAAAATAGGAAAATATGCAACTTTGGCTCTTTAATAAGTATTCGATGACGTGAACCCGCTGAATTAACCGTTGACTAGTATATTATGTTTTTGCAAAAACATCTGAAGTGCAAGACTGACGTTTTGCAGCGCAAAGTCTGGTCATAAAGCATTTCGCCACTCTTACTTTATACCACGCTGTGGTAGAACCTTTGATGAAGACTCAAGCGACTTGGCCCGCTCTGTCCTTGTCAGTGTTATGAATGTTGGCACTCTATGTAGGTTCATCGTCATATTGAAAATTGGCAAAAACCATAGAAAACACCAATTACCATAGCTAAAACGGAAGTTATTTTTTGCAGCAAATAGACGCGTCTAGACGGAGTTTATTTACGTAATAAGTTCACGCTGCAATCCACGGAGGAAGAAACAGCTCTTAACGGTATTAATGCAATGTAAGTCCAAACGGAGCTGTCTATCATTTGAAAATTTTTTTCATACTCGTTCAGTTCCGAGTATTTCGTCATGGTAACGTTGCTCACTAAATTTAAAGGCAGAGAAGGCAGTCCAGGTACCAAGGTGAGGAGCATACACCCAGTTTGTTCCTAGCTGACGGCATGCCATATGAAGCAATACCTAACGGCGGTATCAAACGTAAAAGTTCACAGCATTTGCTAGTCCATGAATAGTCGTTTTCATATGTTTTAGTCAGGTAGGTATTTTCCTGCAATAGAATCATCTCCTTTCCTAAATAGACAACGGAATCGATATCGAACCGGTATGCTCGTTTATTGCTTTAACAAAAAGTGCCCCTCTCAGGTCTTCCATGAAGAGTCCGGTGTATGATGCTCAGGAAGAACCGTTGTCATTGGCCAACGCACTTCGGATAACAGGTATTACCTGCTAACTTTCGTTTATACTAAATATCATTAGAATTATAGCTTTTATGAGATTTATCGAGGCATCAGCTGATTTTACGATTCTAGCCGCTTATTTACGTTTTCTCTAGCACTTCTTAGCTCGAATTGGCCCATTCTGCTTTTTCTTTATTTGATAATAATGTGCCCTTTTCGGGAGCTCCGAATTCTCGTACAATTACGTCGACCGCTCTCGTTATAGCTAAAGCCTAGAAGAGGCCTCAGACCCTACCGCTGAAGACGGGAATACGAGAAAAACCTCACTTTCAGATATATTGAAAATAGATTAACGTCCTGCGTCGATGGGCGGTTTGAGCCAACACACAAAGACATAACTACGAAACACTAAGAAGGTCAAGAAAATGCCTCATAAGGACGAAGAGGCGATTAGCTGTAAAGCTAATCTCATCTATTTCGTTATACAAATCTATCTAACGAGCGATACGAATGAGCCAGGTGTAAGGGCATGGTCTAGGTGCACTAAATGAATGATAGATGTGTGCTGGTGCTCGGGAGTGGAGCAAATAAACAGGAAACGAAGTGGAATCAGCTGATCCGGACAGAGAACACTTAATAAGATTTTAGTGCTATGATATTTTCCATTGTTCACTTTTGTCAACTCCAACAATAACACCCACTGTTACTAAGTTTTAATTCGTTATTTCATGAAAAACTTTTGATCATTATTATTGTTATTGAGAAGACTTTCGGCAGAAACAAACCTTAACTTACGCGTTGGCAAAAAAAATCATGAAGAAGCAATAGAAGAACCGAATAACGGGACCTATGTTATAAATGAATATAAAATGTGCAAGCCGTCAGAATTTCGTACTAGCTGTGATCAGCACCACAATGAGCAATTGACATCATTGTGTGACACAAAAAAAACTTCTCAGCATGACAAGAATACAATATCTGTGACGCACCCTCTAAGATTTCACAAAGAACACAGATGTTGACAATGCCAAATGCGCGGCATCTGCATTCGAGGAGTTGACATACAATGCGTAAAAACACTATAATTTAATGATATGTATATATATGTGTGTGTAGGATATGTTGCCTGTAACCAATTTTCTGTTAGCTATAACAGGCCGAGCCAAGGAAGGTCCAAGGTCCTGTCTTCTGTTCATGTATCTTAACCAGACTACATCGGTGGAGAAGGATGCTCTAGGCGTACGTGACATGACACGCATTCTACATGTTGATTTAAATTGAAGCAGCGGACTGCGAAAGAGCATTCTAAGGATGACGTACTAGCTCTCACGACTGTGACTCACTGTGCATCTTCCGTTGGAATATTGGCTACATCCAACGTCTAAATAGATGTGGTTTAAAAAACTTACTCGTGACAATTTGCAAGAAAGATAGACATTAAATAACATATCTTTGTTACATAAACATTGTGTTTAGACACGAGACCGCTTGAAATTGGAGACAAATTTTCTGCCAATTCGGTGTCTTGCTAATGTTGTTGTTCGAAAGCGGTTACGAAGCAGCTACGCGCTATATGCGCTCGAGTAAATACGGATAATATATTCAGTAAAGAAAAGCAAATGTTGTGAATCACCTGTTGTTCTTTGTTTTCATCGATAGGGAATAAGTATTTGGATATCATATCCTTCCAGAACTGGATCTCAGCCGGTGACAGGAACTCGACCTCACCATGTTTGAGGTCTTTATCTTCAACCCAGTATGGGTTCAGCATATCATCACGTTTTGGGCGGCTTTCTGTAATCAGAAATACAAAAAAAATGTGACCACACAGCATAAATAGGTCTATTTTATTAAGGCTTGCTTATCATTAGTTTACATATTATTTTAGTCCTATTTCATGCGTAGCCCTTAGCAAGAACATTCGAGCGTGTCAAGTCTTGTACGATATTCGAATTGCGTTCATACCAATACAACCAACCTCGAATTTAGAAATATTTTAGGCATATAGATTATAAATATTTATCTACGAAATCGGTCATCAACCAGAGCTTTGATGCGGCCTAAGTTCGTCGACTGAATAAATTGTTATTTTTACCACACATGATAGCCATCACAGGTAATAAATGTAAAAAAATAACCTGAGACTAACCAGATACAACAGAACGCAGCCTTTCGGCTGTCTCGCGTAGAAGGCCAATTGTCTATTGTAAACAAGGATCTTCTAGGTCGTTTAATTTAGTACTGCCTCACCTAACTTACGTAGTTCGCCCTAGCAGCGTCCTGGAACGTAATCAGCTGCCCATGCAGAATAAAAAAATTAGCGATGTGCCCGGCCGCCGCATGTCCTTCCTTCTCCGTCCTAATCTAACATTCTCGAGACCTTTGTCACCCATATGCAAAGGTTCGTAAAATTATTTTTCTCATTCTCATAATTTTGAGTCGGAGCTCAAGAGTAATCCAAAAAAATAGGAAAGAATCTTCGAATCAGAGGGTCAAAGAGCATAAGAAACGTTTCCTAGCGGCTTCATTTAGGGTGTCCCACACTTTTCAATAACTGCAAGTTCTTCGTTAGCTCTTAATCAACCATCGACTGCAGGCGCCTCAAAAGCCAATCCCTAAAGCCTCGGCAAGGTTTTTCCTGATACTCACCAGAATTAAGATTTTTGGAATGTGGGACTTTGATTAAGCTTTAGAGAGGCTTTGGCGGCAACTTCCATCACACGGGCAGACAATCACATTCAGAACAAATAGCATTAGATTACGATGCGCGCAATCGTTCTGTCACCGAAACTTTTCACCAAAATAACGCCCTTTCCTAATCGTCTCCCCCAGGGGCTAATACCGGTTGGTGAGCTTGAACAGGAGTTAGGAAGTCGTTCTAAGGGGATCACAAAACATCTACCTTAACCGCCTCCCCTTCCAGAGATTAATAGCGTCGTAGGATTGAACGCCTCTTAAATTATGTGCGAAGAAGAAAGCAAAAGATCTAAACAAGAAGAGGCAGTAAAAAAGGATATCAGCAAGGCTCCAGAGGATAGCAGAATCGTCAAAATCGCAAATTGAAATGAGGATAATCCCTTTGCTCCCTATTACAGAGAGCCATTTATAAAAACAAAAAAAAAAAAAAAAAAAAAGCTGAAACTTCTATTGAGGAAGAACTTCGTTCGAATTGTTACCAGCGCCCCCAATGGCCTCATAAGAATATAAAATGGTCATAATGATCTTGGGAAGTTGAGATCAATAAACTTCAATTCGATTTAAATACGGTCCCAGTTACAAAGAAGGAATGAATACTCGACAAAACCTAGGATTATACCACAGTTGTAGGTAAGAAGAAGCATTTACGTCCGTTATCAGCAGTCTACTTATGAAGCCGCCAGTAGGCTTTCTTAAGCTGAGGGTAAAAACAAGCTGCGTATGAGAATTGCCGTTCTCAAGAGTGCGGTTCGTAATTTCTCTGAAAAACTGGTCGGCTTGGGAGTGATTTAATACTATATTGCAGTGAAAAACTATTTATAGAAGTCTGCTAGATAGATATTTGACATGGTCAATTGTTCGAACTGAGAAAATTTACTTAAATTTCATGGAGGCATTGCTGACGATCTTCATTGGCTGACAAAAGTGTGCTTCAGAGATACAATCATACATATTATGTACGGTAATATCAATACTTTCAAAACAACGATACCACTACATTCACATTCGGCGACGACTCAATGACAATTAAACGTTACCTTACTCCGTTTTCCTTTTTTTCTCTGCATTTGCAAGTTTGAACTTATCCATTCTGATCTACCAAAATCAAGCTTTCAACCGCATGCACTACAGTATTTGATCCTATCATCATAACTCAAGTTATAGCAGATTGCATACTTCGTGTGTTTAATCTGGTACTACTATGCATATTCCAAAAAAGCTCCCCACTTACTAGCCTCAATGCCAGAGGTGCCTCTTCAGATCTCCTTCTTTATGGGTCCCAGGCACAATTACTACAATTTGCGATAACAAAAATAGATCTTTACAAAAAATTTATCTTTGAAGAATAATTTAATATCTGACGCAAATTTACAAACTGGATTCTACAGCGAACCTACAGCGAAGGAAGAATCAAGGGGGCTAAGGAACGATATCTGGTGGTCAGACTATTATTTTTTCCCATTTTTTTTCTCCCGCTGAACTCTAACCGGAGGAAATGGTATATGTACCTACATCTAGCAAACTACCATAGCTTGAACCACGTGCTATTAGTACTTCAGTTGTCAGCTCCCAGGACAACAACCCCCAGAACAACCGTTACACAATGAAAAGGGAAAGAAATTGTGACTAGCTAAGCAACCGATATTTTATTAAAATTTTCCTCGTTGCCGTGGCCATTGGACGACAGTGAACAGTCAATCGAATAGTCATAGCCAAAACTCAATTTGGTTGCACGCCCCTAAAAGCTATATGGGAGAAGCGAGGTTTTAAACTTCCGCAGGAGAGGATGGACATTCGGTGGACGATTTGTGCAGTGGCTACATCTGGCTGGGGGGTGAGGATGTGTGTTTTGGTACCACCAGCCGTGGGAAGTTTTGATGAGACTGCGGCCACTTTAGCAAACCAGAAGAAGCTACTTGCCCTTAGCGATCTCAATATACAATGGAAAACATGTAGGCCTACCTCGACGTACCTGAAAATAGGGCCATGGAAGGGTAAGAAAGGATAGATTGTGTTGCAAGTGCATTCGTAAACGCAAGTCTGGCACAGTCGAAGTGCGATGACGCAAAATTGAGTCAACGCCATAAAATTTGATAGAGTGTACAATGACACTTTCTGTTCTGTTCTTCCAGTGAGTAAAACTACCGTTACCAAATCTAAAAATGTAACTATTGAGCGCCTTCTGATGTTGTCGGTACAGCCATGATAAGGAGACCAACGGTATCGTAACTGCTAGAACTGTATTCAAGCTGCTTCCAGCTAAGGCGTACACGTCTTCACTCTCGTAACTGCTCGTAGCAGATGCAACCATTGTGTAATAAAAAAAAAAATTAAAAATGTTTCAAGCTTCTAAGTAGATATTGTGGTTAATATAAAAAAAAAAAAAAAGAAAAACTAGACCGGATAATTGCCGCCACGTTTTCTTGTTATCATCAGAATCCCTGTTATTGATTAGCGACTTTGTGAACTTTTTACATTATTTGATGGTAATATTCTGTTTTTTGGTGCGGTTTATCATTGAAAATTATCACACTCAAATCTGCGTATCTTCTTTGTTACCGTGTATCGATTCCGCTAAGAATCATTACTAATGCTTTCTAGTCGCGATACACATAATATAGTGCCTGTTATGTATTTCGATACTGCAGTACGATATACGCCTCTTGCTCTAAAATCACAACGAAATATACAGACAAGGAAGAAAGAAATTCTTATGACAGACAATATTCAGGTTTCTCATTTTAAAAACAACTTTAAATAGTATGTTTAATGAAAAAAATATTATCTCTGTGAGGGAAGATATTTTAACTACAGTGAAATATCTGCGGATGTAATTTGACAAGAATGGGGATCGACAATTGACTACATCTTGTTTGATGATGAAGACAACCTTTACACTGCAACAAAACATAGACACCCAGCAAAGGCCTCTTGCATGCGAAACCGAGCCTGGGTGTTGCCAAAAAGCATCCAAGCGCGATTAGCAACCACATGAAAGGGGGCATATAGTAACTGAAATTGACAGTAGACCCGAAACTGTCACGGAAGATGTTAGTTTGATCGTTAACATGCAGCCCTAGAACGACCGTTCTGGCCACTCCCGTACCTTACAGTAGTTAGCAAAAGGCTCAAACGCACGAAGAAAAAACAACGCGACAGATGGAACAACTAGGAGAGGAATTTAACATTAATAACAACAGTTATGACAGTGGCATCTATCGGATGAGTCGTGGGTGAAGAAGGCCGTCCCGCGGAAGTGTCCTAACTTTCCCTCTAGACCTTAGGGAAAGAATTGCCAGTTATTTCAACACTAGCGGGCGCCTTGTATAGACAATATATTTACATGTCGGAACGATGTACAGGGTCGCTTCAGCGACACAGGCAAAGTGTACTCGGTATATTGTAGATAGCGAAGAGCGTCCGCCTTACCATCCTCGACTGAACCTCCGCTGTACACTCCGGTACACTGAAGTGTTATCTCTGAGAAAAGGCTGAGTTTTTATTACCCTGAAGGAACATTATGTGCCGTTTTCCGCGTCCATTTCTGTCTTCTCTTCTAGCGAAGTTGACGATGAAGTGAGGAGGCATGGTTGCTCTCAGGTGTTGGCCTCTAGACAGAGAAGTAGGTACACCCCTGTGAAGGCCGACCATGCGCATATCAACAAGGAACACCACGCATTAAGCCCACGTACTTGTCTAAGGTTATTTAATCTTAGGCAAACTTAGCACATTCTTTACGCATTTTTTTTCATGGACTCTTTCTTTACCTGCGTTTCCATATTTCTTCATTTTTTTTCTCTGTTTAGCATCTCCTAGAACGATTCCCTCATACTCTCTATCCGTCTGTTTCGTCCTTACTGCATTCCAGATGCCACTCGCCAAACGTAACAATACTAGGTCGCGTCAGCAAGAACCCCGACAACTCCTCACAGACCTATTTAGGCATAGTACACTGGCATCACACGGTAAACAACGGAAGAAGTACGGCTGGATAGAAACAAGCTTAATGATATTATGTGTCTCGGCTTATTTATGTGTGCTATATCCGTGTCACGTGATAAGCGTCTATCTGAGCTAGGTAAGAAATTGCCACAAAC